ATTAAAACCCCCTCTAAAAATTTCCCTAGGCCAGTCCTGCAAGCTGGAATAACCATGTCTTAAGGGCGCGGCGGAAGGAAGGGAGATCAGGGATCACCCTGATCTCTGGGGGTAGTTCATTCCAGAGGGTGGGAGCTCCCACAGAGAAGGCCCTCCCCCTTGGGGTCGCCAGCCGGCACTGTCTGGCCGACGGCACCCTTTTCTTTGTTTAGTTTCTATTATTTTTTTTCTTTTTTCTTTCTATATATTTTTTTATATTACAAACAATAAAAATCATTTTTTTAAAAAACTTCACTACACTTTCTTACCGGAATGTGTGAAAATGAGTGGTCCTGCCAATTCTTATTCTTCTGCATTAAGAAAACCTAACCTAGTTTTTTAACAAAATAGACATTAATTCCTTTGGCAATTCAAATCCTTCTCAACTTAGTAGAGCTCCCTTGTGCCTGTCTTGTGAACACAGCAAAGATTCACCAGATAACTTGATATCGTTTCAAAAGGCTGAAATAGAAATAATAAGATTGAAATTAGCCAACGCATTGAAATAACCTGATATACAAACAGTCAGAAATGGACTTTGCTGAAGGACCAGTATGTGCCTGATTTTATTTTGAAATAATGAAATGGAAAGAATGAATGAGAAGTTAATGGCCATTGACTGAATTTCAAAACAATACCTAATAGGAAATTAAAATGGAACAGAGTTTCTTATTTCTTGCCTGACTCCTACAAATCTAAAGCAGCACTGGGCAGAAGCATTTTAATTAATTACTCCCGTTATTGTAACTGAAGAAGTACAGCCCACAATTAAGGTGCTTAGATCATTTCATCGAGGCACATAGGGCCCTAGTTGTCACTTGTGCTAATAAAGTAAAATGAGGATGTTATTTGTAAGTATTTATTACATTTCAAACATGTTTTGTTGATTGCCAGTTTTATTCATGGCATGGTTTTCTGCTTCTCTTCACAGGTACCATACCAGATATCCTATTAACGCTGTGAGACCCATTTACAAGAAGGGGAGAAAATGGTGCAAAGTTCCCATGCCTATATCACATCCAATACTTAAAGACAATATTACTTATGGATCAAAGCCCCTTCGTTTTAACCATTGAAGGAGAGTGCAGCTTGAGTTGACAGTAGATGACGATCATTCAGACCATCCTGTGTGCATCATAAATGTTTTGTAGAGTCTGGAAGAAACAAAATGGTTGCAGATGGTAATGTTATTTGCTGGAGCCTGGGAAGGCTAGTTGAACAACCAATTTGTTACCTCTATGGAGGCATATCTCATTTTTGTGTATATTCCGATTAAACTCTTGAGATGAATTTTTTGTCATTTTTTCAGTTGGATTTCAATAGCCTGTACATTTTGCATCCTACACTACCTTAAACTAATTGCTGAATAATACAACCATATTGTCAACTTCTGAAACAAACCTGGCTGAAGCCATCTTTGTCGTTCTCAGTTGCCACACAGGTTGGGGGGGGGGGAAGTGAAAGTATTGCTAGACTAAACATGGAGCGGTCCCATGGGAGCCAAGGTCATTCCCACAGGTGCTGGAAGGTGGAGAGAAGTGTCACGGAGCCCGCCAATTGCTTTCATTGGGAAGTGTGATCAATTGCATAATAGAGGGGAGGAAAGTGTTACATTTAGTTACATTGAATTCCTGGGGGGAATTTTAGAGTTGGTTTCACTTTTGACTGTGCTGATATGTATCCAATAAACATGTTCTTTGAGGAAGCTTTAAGCCTCGCAGTTCTGATTTGTTTGGGTCCGTTAGTCGGAACCTTGACACATATAAGATTTGAAGGGTTCTTTTAAAAAATCATATAGTCCAGATCCCTACCCAGTACAAGAATCACCAGTGCTTAAATAACTCCAGAAAATGTCCAGTCTCCTAAGGTAGTCTATTGTTGAGTAGCATAATATTAAGTTTTCCCGTCCAACCACAATCTGCTTCCTTGTAATTTAAATCATTGTTTTTCATCCCATCTAAGATTTTTCTTCCTTACAGTTCCTTTATTATCTGGTTACTGTCCAATGGGGACATTACTTCGTCATTCCTGAAGTGCACATCAAACATTGGAAGCAATATCTTCAGTGTGGTCTGACAAATCTATTTTGACTCTATACTTTTGTGATGCAGCCAAGCATTACATTTGATTTTTTTGTAACTATTCTGGAGCACTCCCAGATTCTTTCTGCATATACCCTTGCCCAGTATGCTTTCCCACCCCCAACTCTATATTCATATGTTTGATTTGTTGTGTGTGCATGCCCTATTGTAAATGTCTATGGAGATTCTCAGTCATCCAGGTCATGGTTGTCCCAAAGGTGCTTTTTCAAAAGGCAACTGGACTTCCTTAGTTTTCCCTTGAAGATGTTTTGCTTCTCATCCAAGAAACTTCTTCAGTTCTGACTGAATGGTGGAGGATGGAAGAATTTATATTACTTGCAGTCATCTGGTCGTTGGCACTCTTTCTGACCATCCTGTGTGCATCATAAATGTCTGACCATCCTGTGTGCATCATAAATGTTTGAGGCCACTTGGAGATTTATCTCTGCCCTCGGGGTCACCTGAATAGTGCAAATGGGTGTGGAACGACTCAACTACTCTCAAAAAGAGTGCTAACTAAACATATTTTTAAAATATGGATTACAAGGAAGTAGACTGATTTCACACAGATTTATTAAATCAAAAATATAGACATAAGTACAAAATAATTACAACATTAGGAGATAGCTTCCTTAATTTTATGTGTTTGTGATCTTTACAACATGAAGGGTAAGTCTATGTTCTTCTCTCCGTTGCCAAAATAGATGTAACCATGCTGTTTAGTATTAGGAATATGGTAGAATGTGAGTCCAGGCCAGAGTAGACTTCGTAGCACTACTACTCTGCTTCCTCTCTCTACCTGGATGCTCCAGGACCCTATAGAAAAACAAATGTGTTAAATTTTACTAGAAGTAATTACAAGACAAAAATTGTTGACCCAACACAAAATGGGATCAAATAATTTAGTAATCACTGAAAGATAAGCAGAAAATAAGTAAAACAAAATTCTAGCAAATTTAGAAAGTTTTGACATTGATTTTAGATGAGAGGAATTGGTTTTGACTCAACGTTGGCAAGACAAAGTGTCTCTGAGTTTTTGGCTCCCTGGGCCCAGATGATATTTCATCTCTGACTCTGGACAGTGTGGCATTCCTCCCATCTGAGTTGCTCTGCAATTTGTTGTCCTAGACTCACAGCTCTTGTTTGAGGAATAGGTGGTATCTGCAACAGAGGGGGGCTTTGCACAGATTTGTCTTTCATACCAGGAGACCTTGCTCATAGTACTACTATGTTCATGTCGGAAGCACCTATCAAAATGCTTCCAGGTTGAAAGGATTAGCCGGTGGCATCATCATTGCCCAGAGGACACGAGGAGGCTCCTTTCATGTCCCAGATATTTTCCCACTGAAGTACCTATTTATCTACTTGCCTGTGTGTGCTTTCCAGCTGCTGGGCGGGGCAGGAGCTGGGACAAATTGACAGGGCTCATTCAGTCACACAGCTCTCTCTCAGGTTTTGAACTGCTGAACCATCGACCTCTCAATGATCTTCTGACTCAGTGTTCTAAGCGCTGAGTTGCTCATGGTCACTAATGCCTGGCTCACTTCCCATTTGGATTACTGCAATGCATTCCAGCTGGATCTGCCTTGAAGACTGCAAAGAGGTTTCAACTGATCCAGAAGATGGTGGTGGTGAAGGCAGTGCTAGATTTACCCATGTAACACTTCTGTTGTGCAAGCTGCACTAGTTCCCAATTTCCTTCTGTGTGCAATTCAAGATGCTGATTATCTTTAAAGCCCTATACGGCCCAGGGCCAGGTTATCTGAGAGACTGCCTCTTTCTAAGGAGATCTATCCATCCTAATAGATCAGATAGGGTAGACACACTCCTAGTTCCTTCCCTTAACCATTGCCACCTTATTCTAGGAAGCATGCCTTTTCCATGACAGTCCCTATCCTACAGAATACTCTTCCACCCGAATTACGGCCTTTTAAAACCATAAGTAGCAGTTTTACGGCTATATTAATGTTTTAATTTTTCATTTTTTGGTACTTTCTGAAGAGCTGTTATATTAGTATCATAATAAGCCTCTTTTTGGTCCAGGATAACTAATTATTGCATCCATCAAGAATTCTGAAATAAATATTCAACTATCCAGTTTCTTAACATCTCTGCTTCAATATAAAATTATCTTTATGACCAACAGTTTACAAACATCACCATATTCAATGAGATCACAGATACTTAACAAAAAATCACCAACAGAGGAATTAGGAGCAGCAAACACATAAATTGTTCCACACAATCTATGTACAGTAATTTCTTCTGAAACTGCAGTAATCTTTCCTGTAAAAAATGCAACATCTCACCATTATTCCTATGTGTTATTCACATATTGGAAATGAAAAAATACAACATTCCTGTGAGTCATCTTAACTCTCATGCAGTTCTTTCTATCTATCAGATTTAAGGTTTTAAAAACAATATGTATTGTGTATATGCAGACTATACCATGAACAGTAATGTTCATCTAGCTCAGGGGTAGGCAACCTTGGCTCTTTTATGACTTGTGGACTTCAACTCCCAGAATTCCTGAGTCAGCATGGCTGGTTCAGGAATTCTGGGTATTGAAGTCCACAAGTCATAAAAGAGCCAAGGTTGCCTACCCCTGAGCTAGCTCCTAAAATAAATCTAGTAATATCTACAAAGGTCCCCTACCTGAGCAGGAATAATTTGCTTCTTTGTGCATATTTTGCACTTGTTTCATTATGCAAAATTAGTTATCTTCTCCTTTTCTAATAATGGCAGGCAATCCCTTCTTAAATTTGTAGCAAGGGGCAAGGAAGAGAGAAGTGCTCTTTTCCCCCTAAAGCAAGAATACATATGTATCGAATGTCATACTTTTTTTTAATTGTGATGAGGTATTATTATTCTAAGGATAAAATTAGTGCTTTACTTCCTGAAAAGCAAGTACACAAAAGTAAGAAAAAGAAACGGCAGAGAGAGCCACAAAGCCTCCATTAGTTTATTTATTTATTTTATTTATTTTCATTAACTTATATGCCGCCCTTCTCCCCATGGGACTCAGGGCGGCTCACAGCATGTTAAAACAATATGAAACATTATCCCCTATAAAAGCCAATTAAAAACCAAATATTTATAGCTGTGTCTTATTAAAATCATTAAAATTGTCCCTATTTACAATTCATTTTCCTTGGTGTTTTATGTGATTCCAACTTTGAAGAAAAGGAGTATTAAGGTAGCAAAGGCATTAGTTTCAATGTTAATTTTGCTTTGGTGATGCCAAGAATATTAAAGTATAATTCAAACCTAGACTGATCAATGTGTTCTGAACTAATAACCAGAGAACCATGGGAGTGAAAAAGGAGTATTACAGTGGATTTGCTTCATCCAAAGAAACTTGAAAAGATTGGAGAATTCCAATACGTATTAAATAAATAGAAATATTCACAGATGGAAATGTCCAGGTAGTTCCTAGAAAAATAATTATAGATACCTTAATACAGAGAGGTTACAGTGCTATTCTTGTGGCAAATTCTTTGTGCTTTCTGAATTCCGTATCAAAATGAGTGTTCAAGAACCTATATTAGATACCAGAACACTGAATACATAAATTATACTGATCCCTATACAGTAACTCTGGTGTTAAGATAATAATTTACTCAATGGTACTCTTTTGAATACTTCAGTGACACACACTATTATTTTCTGAAAGTTGAGCTGACCTGTCCCTCCAATTCAACCTATAATAATGATCTGTGTGTTCCCCCCGTCCGATTTAATTTCCACCACATATTCTCCTTGGGATATCCTCTTTGGGACTGCCATTAAAGGCCATTCACAAATTACAGCTGGTGAATAGAGCAGCTGCTTCCTTTATAAGAAGAAAACTATATAACAAGCACAGCTTTTTTACCCATTTCCTGCCAAACAAATGTCAGATCCACTGTTTCTCCTTTGTTAACCTTTAAGCAGCAAACTCAAAGCTTCACCTAATCCAATACTGAGCCTTATCTTTTTTGTTATAATCAACACAAAAATTCACATAATCAAGTTCAAGGCGGAATTTAATGAAATTTTAACTATAAGTATTTTATCAAGTAAGGAGATAGAGTTTCTTTAAAGTTTCCTTTAAAAAAAATCAGTCATTCAATTTAAATTCAAATTGTCTACAAAGAAAGGTAATTTTCATAGGTATTTTTAAAGATAGCTGCCATGATGCGTTCTAGAATCTAGTATCTAGTATCTATCTGCCAGTATCTAACCATGATCAAGAAGCAACTGATAAGAAGCATTAAAAGAAGAAAAACCACTTCAGAACAATGATAAATCATAACTGCAAAGAAAACAAATATTCGGTGTTCTATGAAGACTGTAAGTCTTGCTCAAATCCAATGTTTTTTGCCACTTAGAATACTCTAGTATAAAGGGCTGTTTTTGCTGTTCTTTGATCCAACACTTTTGTTTCAGTATACAGTATGATATGTAAGCCATCCAAATGCCAAATTTATTTATCAGATGCAGAATAAAATATTATACCATTCATATTATAGTTTCTTCAATGCTCAGAAATTCTCAGATGAAGCGAGAGAAAACCCTTTAAAACATGTTGAATTATTTCAGCCGTTGTTAATATCAACAACAATGACCTTCTGCATCAGTTCTGGGGGTTGGGAATGGGAGATGCTATTTTGAGGTGATTCTCCTCCTTTCTCTGTGACTGGTTCCAGGCGGTATGAGTGGGGAAGGGCAGGTCAAGCCATAAGCCCCTGCAGTGTGGGGTACCTCAGAGCTTGGGTCTCTCCCCTCTCTTAACATTCTACATGAAGCCACTGATAAACTGTCTTTGGCTCAATCTTGACAAGATGGAATGGCTCTGGGTTTTTGGTCTCCCAGGGTCTTGTGACTTGTCATATTTGACTGTGGATGGGGTTGCGCTGGTGCACTGAATTGCAGGTCTTCTATGCCAATTGTGTCTTTTCCTGGACTGGGAGGCTCCGCTCATGGTCACTCATGCCTTAGTCACCTCCCAATTGCATTATTGCGGCGTGTTTTATATGGGCTGCCCTTGAAGACCACTCAGAAATTGTAACTGGTCCAGAATGCGGCAGCACACATAGTATTAGGTGCCCCTTGGTTCACCCACGTTACACCTCTATTGCAAAAACTGAACTGGCTTCCAGTTTTCTTCTGGGTGCAATTCCAGGTGCTGGTTATTACCTTTAAAGGACCTGGCTAGTTGCAGGCCTGCCTTTTCCTAAGAATATCTGTCCATCCTACTAGATCCAATAGGATGAGAGAGAGTGATTGGCCCAAGATCACCCAGCTTGCTTTGTGCCTAAGGTGAGACCAGAATTCTCCCAGTTTTTAGCCTGAGGCCTTAACCACTACAACAAATTTGCTTTCCTTGTACTGTGGCAAATGTTAATGCCTGCTAACCTCTTTTAATTACTAGCTTTAGTTAATTGGACAAGTCTAACGTGTTTATAAGTAAAATGGGCACTTCCCGCCTCAACTGTCAGTACTGAGGTTTTTTATCTTCAGTGGATAGAGGGAAGCAGTAGTAAGTAGGCAAATCTTCGAGTAGCTGACAGGACACCCCAGCTGCATTATGTCAGCTATGCTGAAGATCAAGTGTATAATATATTCATGAAAAAGGCTTTGCAGAGTTACTTTTTAAATATTTTTAAAAAGATAAAAGAAAATTTGCTTTTCAAGCTGCACTTGGCAGAGCTACCTAAACCAAGTGTTGTCTCAATTTTTTTTTAAATTGGCCTGTCTGAGCTCCAAAAAAGGAAAGAGGTGTGGGAGGAAAAAAAGCCTGGGAAAATTATCCTTTGGATGAAGATTGTGAACTTCCGATTTCCCCTCTGGAGCAGGCTACAGTCTTCATCCTGCCAAATATGGGTGGGAATACTAGGGAGGTGCCTACAATTTTCCAAACAAGACATTGCTTGGAATGCTTTTTTGTTCAGCCAACCACTGCCTTTTAGTTGGACCATCTATCAGAAGCCATCTACCTCCCTCTCCGGTTCTGCTTTTTGTCTAGTCTGCCACCAAATTCATATCTCACCCTCACATCTGCCTGGGTCTCTGGCCTGAAACATCTACTGTAAGCTAGTTATGGAGATTATTTAAAAAAACTAAAGTTCAACTGAGAAGCTCTTGAAACAACAGAGAGCTGATCCACTTCAAATTCATTCTTCCATAGCACTGCTGCTTTGGATGTATTTCAATGTTTATATTTTAGTGTGGTGCCTAGTAGAAAAGCAAGTAAGTCATCATTTAGTAAAATTGAACAGTCCCCAAAGGTAGTATCAGGATAATAAAAGCAAGAACACCCGACTCAGAAGTTATTACAATTAAGACAGTAGCAGAATTATACTAACACACATTTATGATGGATATAAAATTGGCTAAGTTCATAAACATTTATGTCTTTTATTGGTCATCACTTCCCTGAAGTTAGAATTTCAACAGAACTATACTAATTTATTTCTGTTGCACTCATGTGTGAAGTTCCATTTAGATTTTATACTGTTTGTATCTTTCCCTATATATTTAGCATAGCAATAGCAATAATACTTAGACTTATATACCACTTCACAGTGCTTTACAGCCATCTCTAAGAGATTTACAGAGTCAGCATATTGCTCCCAACAATCTGGGCCCTCATTTTATCAACCTCAGAAGGACAGAAGGCTGAGCTAACCTTGAGCCAGTCAGAATCAAACTATTGGCAGTTGGCAGAATTAGCCTGCAATACTGCATTCTAACCACTATGCCACCAAGGCTCGATGGATACCATTATAGTATTAAATATAGTATCAATACAATATAATTGTAGCATTATAGTTTTCCCAAAGCTTATGTAGCTTACACAGATTTAACTGGAAGGGCAACCCATACTGTCCATTTAATGGTATTTAATATGATGCTCTTTGGAACATCATTCTCCCATGGGAGAGATTAGCTCTGACCTATTGGCATTTAGAAAATCCCTGAAAACATGGTTCTTCCAGTACATTTGGAGATCCTAGGAAAAAGGCAAATCCACAAAATTGTTAAAATTGTGTGTAGGATGCTGGTCCATTCCCTTCACTCTTATTTATATACAAATATAATTGGCTGTCTTATTGTATGCCACCCAGAGTCACATGAATGAGATGGGTAGCTATATAAATCTGATAAATAATATCATATACGTACAATTGTTTGTACCTTTCAAAACATGTCTGAATTTATTTTTACATTGAATTGTCAGTGAAGAAACGAAAAGCTTAATTTAATAATCTCATTCTTAAAAGTTACTTCATATAACAGCAAAAATCGCATTGACTATGATAATTCTTTGCAAAAAGCAGGCTACCTAAATCTATTTTATAGTCAGTGTGCATATCACCGTGAACCACTGAATAAATTAGTACCAATCTATAAAAATGCTTTCAAGAGTTGTTCTTGGACAATTATTTTAGCCTCCTAACTGCCATGATAGGAAAGCATTCATCTAATAACTTTTTTTTTTATTCTATGAAGATCTACTCTGAACTTTTCTCTAAATTATTCCCATGGAACAAACTGTACTTGTCCTTGGGAAGTGATAAATCATAGTCAGTACCTATCCTTGTACTCACCAAAGTGTTATTTTGTTTTTCCCTTGAAAATGCAGTCCTGAGATGTAGCACTTTTAAAGGAGGGACTTGATGGATAGGTACTGAACTTCACCAGCTAAGCAGAACATGCCTCTCCAGCTTCCATTGTTAATATCAGAAAAGAGAAAGGAGCTACAAAAACACTCATGCTTTTGTTGTCAAGATGGAAGCTGACTAAAACCATATTTCCCCCATTTACATGACAGTAATAACTATGGCAAAAGTAGTTTATTTCCCAATATTTCTTGCTAAAGTTTATTCAGTCTGGAGCTTAGCTCTGAGCCTTATCTCATCCTATCATGTAAGTTTTTAGATAATGAATACAGCCTAGTTGTGCATATTTTGCAAGCCTTTTAAGGGTCATGACTTACAAATTGCCAAAATGAACCATGCATTACAATTTTGTCACTGTTTATCTAATTCAGGAGAAAAAAACATAACAACATTAAAAGACATAAGATTTTTAGTCTTAGAGCAGTCTGTACTAATAAAATAGTACAGATTCTAGTCTATTAATTCTTCTGTTCATGTCCAAGTATATTATTTTTAAAAGGAATTCAGGACAAAAAGTTTTCCAAGTAATCACTAAGATTTCTGTCTTAAGTTCTGAGGGCCCTTAAATTACATGGAACCTTTCTTTTTGGTTATATGCTTCTGCAGGATTTTAATAGAGACAGCAAAGGCAGTTGCTATAGAAACATCTTTGGAACATGCTAGGTAGCACGTAGCATCTACCTGAAAAGCCCTGGATTAATATATCATCTTCCCAGTTCTTCAAATCCTATTGATCATGCAGAATAAAATGGAAATAGTCTTTTGCCACATTCATTATATCAAATGAAATTGGGCCACTTTTAAACATTACTGCTAGTTTCCAAACTAAAGTAAATTTTTCAAATTTGTACCCTTTGTTAGAAGACTCATCAGATGATCAAAGAAACAATGACTTACTGTGTTTCAGCATTATGATCTTTCTGCTTTTTAGATATTCTTTACTTTCACAACAATGAATAGAACAGCGACAATAGAGAGCTTTTTGTACTTTAGCATTTCTTAAATCAAGTTAAAATATTTATCTTTTACAAAAGTTATAGCCACCTCATGTCTTGATTTGATTATTGGTTTTGGCGTAAGAAAAATAGTAATTAGGAGTTCCATTATGATTAAAAGACTGTTCTGAACAGCCTATCTATCCCAAAATAAAATAAGATACTCTAAGAATGAATCTGTCTGGTAAATATTTTACCTCATCAAATCATCTGTTTATTATCCAATAAAAAATGAATATTCTACAAAGATCATTGACTAACTTTGATCATTTTCCACTTCTCTGCTTTTCATATGCTAAATCTTGCAGCTAATTAAAGACATCTAAGCTTCTCTGCCATTCGTTTGAATCTAAGTCTCACATTAGGGCATATTACTTAATATGTCATCAATTTCTAAATGGATCCACATATACAATAAACCAAAATAAATATATTAATAATAAGGAAATACAGAAATCATATCATAAATTACTATAACAGAAAATAATAGGTATATTGATAATAGGTTCTGAATTAATGCCCTTCTGAAAAGGTTTGTTTTTAAGGCATTTCTAAAGATTAGTCATTCTGTATGTAGAGATCCTGCTAATGTCATCTATACTAGGGGTCTGCAACCTTGACAACTTTAAGACTTGTGGACTTCTTCTTTTTTTATATATTTTATTATTTTTTTTTTAACAAGCATAGGTCATTCAATAATTGGTAAACAGTGTGTTGTCTGGGTTACATTTGTAGAAACACTCCTTAACAATTGATTTCTATAATCTGTATTCCATATATTAATTTTAATCGATTTCCTCTTTCCCCAAAACATCCTTTTTTGCAAACATTAATACAATTCTTATTGTTTTAATAAATGACAATTAAGTATACAATTTATCCAACATGCCTTAAACTTATGAGTAAGGAAAATAACGATTCGGGGTGACGCCCGGGTCCTCACTAACAAGACTTGTGGACTTCAGCTCCCAGAATTCTGGGAGCTGAAGTCCACAAGTCTTGAAGTTGTCAAGGTTGCAGACCCCTAATCTATACAAAGCAGGGATTGCAATCTTCTTCTGCATAGGGGCCAGAGGCCATGTCTGTGAATAGATGATAGGCATTTTTCTCCCTCTCTCTCTCAAGTGAATACATTCGCACTTGGAAGGACTTTGGGGGAGAAACCATCGAGATTCTTCTTAGGGGAAAAAAGGGAGGCGTGACCAAAGAGGAAAATGAGGACATGATCACAACATCTTGGCACAACCTTGTGGTTGTGTATACATACTTGTAACATGAACCAAATCATTACAATTTATTAAAATAATGCAGGTCTATATCAGGCCTGAGATAGAATTACAAACTTGAGTTCTTTTTAGGACCACCATGGATCAGGTAGATATGCTATTTCTTTTTGGAAGTATGAGCCAGATGATTTAGGGTGGTAATACAGATCCAGTCTTTGAGCCATAAGTTGCTAACCCCTGAGCATTTGAAATTCTTGTTCTTTTCATCCCTTATCTGCTTTTTTCCCCAAAACATGAATAAAAAGCAATAAATAGGCTTCACTGTATTACTTTCAACTGTAAGAAAATGAATGGAAATTTTTTCTTCCCATTTTAAATAAATCACAGCTCCCTATGTCATCTAAAAACAGAGAACTAATCTATTTAAATTAGGTATAAACTACCAGCAATAGTAGGATTGCATGATGTGCTCCTGCTAAGAAAAAAAAATCTGAAAATTATCAGTTTAGAATGCTGGTAAAAAATATCTGTCGGACTTCCGGTGGCAGGCGATTTCGTCGGTCGCAGCTGTTTGCTGCCTCCCGCCTGTTTTGCGTAAAAGCCGGTTTGACAGCCAGCATCAGCTGTCAAACGGCTTGATACCTTTCCCCTGGGCATAAGGGGATAGGTGAGCTGCCCGGGGTAGGAGTTGAGTTCCCGAGTCGTCCTATATGGACGATGTAGGCGAGANTTCCTCCCTCCCTCCCTCCCTCCCTTCCCTCTCTCCCTCTCTCTCTCCCTCTCTCCCCTTTCTCTCCCTCTTTCTTTCTTTCTTTCTCTTTTCTTCCTTCCTTCCTTTCTTTTTTTCTTTCTTTCCCTTTAGTCCTTACTTCTCCCTCCCTCCCATCTTCCTCCCTCCCTCCTTCCTTCCTTCCCCTTTTCCACCACCACCTGCTCTTTGTCTGAAATGCATCTTTCCAGCTACAATGAAAGCCGAACAATTCCTCCAGGATCATCAAAGCTAAGGCCTTGATCTGGTTAGATCCCTCCAGCCTTCTCCCAAGAAAATAGAGGTGAAAAAAATTAAGTCTGGTTTCCAGATTCATGTTGGACTACTTTCTTGTGGCAAAAATGCTTGGTAGTCACACTATCTCAGATGGTCTCTTTAATGTATTTGTGCCTTGCTTTTAGACAGAGACTTGTTCTTCCTTACTTAAGTTATTTTGGGAAGCATGACAAGCCTCAGTGACCCCAGATGAATCAACAGCATCAATCACAGCCTTTCATGACACCAACAAGACAGCTTACATCAAGGTTTCTCAACCTTGGCCACTTCAAGGTAGATGGACTTCAACTCTCAGAATTTCTCTTGATTTCTCAGAATTATGTACACATCACCCGTTGCAGACTCCCAGTAGATAAATCTACCAAAAAGAAATAATCCTGATTTTCTCCTTCTCCTTCTCCTTCTCCTTCTCCTTCTCCTTCTCCTTCTCCTTCTCTTCTCTTCTCTTCTCTTCTCTTCTCTTCTCTTCTCTTCTCTTCTCTCCTCTCCTCTCCTCTCCTCTCCTCTCCTCCCTCCCTCCCTCCTTCCTTTCTCTTTCTTTCTTTCTTTCTTTCTTTCTTTCTTTCTTTCTTTCTTTCTTTCTTTCTCTCCCTCTTTCTTTCTTTCTTTCTCTCCCTCTTTCTTTCTTTCTTTCTTTCTTTCTTTTTTTCTCTTTTACTTCAGGGATGGCCAACCCATAATACCAAGGCCACTGACCTCCTTTCTCTGTAGCCCTGCAAATTACTGGAAACTGGAAACTGGTAGCATGGTTTGTTAATATGGTTTCCTGCCTCTAGGAAGCTGCCATGTAAACCATAATAGAATTAATTCAGAAAATTGCAATTGCTTATGGTCTGGCTTCCTGAAACTCAGGGGGAAAAATAGGAAATATTTAATGCTCTTTTGGATTCAATCATCTCATCTCTAAGAAGGTCACAACACTTTTAGGAAGAGCTATAGAAGCTTTGAGAAGTGTCAGCTTCATGTTATTAACTGTTAGCGCTTAATTGTTTTAGGATTTTCTCACAATTTTTAAACCCCAAGTTATAGTTATTGTATTGTTGGTCTTCTTCTTGTTTGGTCTCAGATCATAAATAAATTTTTGATGCTGCCCAAACTAATAAGCCAAATTGCCAGGTGGGAAAGACCAGATCCAGACGTAAAGAACCAATTAAACTGATTTATGGCTAAAAGTCCATGCACAGGAATTATCTCAACTAATGGTGAGTTCCTCCTTGGGATTAGATAAGGGTCAACAAAATTCAAGAGACGTTAGACATTGTTTGCTTGTAGCTACATAAGGATTTTAGGCTGATACCTCTTTTTACTCCACCCCAAGTCCTGCCACTTCTTCTCCTGCACATATAGATGGTGCCCAGATCAGGGCGTGGTGCAAGGAGAATGAGTATTTAATATTGCATGTATTGACAGCAGCGAGAATAGCATTTGCCCAATATTGGAAAAATGAAAACTTACCAACTGAAGAGATTTTAATGAAGAAAATTTTAGAGTGTGCAGAAACGGATAGGCTAACGTTAGAGATTAAAGAGAAAGAAGATTGAGGAAAAGTGAAACTAAAATGGCGATGGATTGATACTTTTCAGCAAGAAGTGAAAGTGATTTCCGGTTTGAAATTTTTGCTACTTTGAATCTGCGTATTACTTGTTTTTACTGAACTGCTTAAATTTATTGCTAATATGGTTCTGAGAAAAATCCTGCCTCTAACTTTGAGACCGTTTACATCCCTGATGTCTCAGACATCTCAACTAACTTTTGAAACTTTCC